TAATGGTAGTTGTCTTTTCCCTAGGATCGGGCATTTCAAGACTAGCAGGCACATTTTTAAGGTGAAAGGAGAGAGATTTAAAAAAGAACGTGAGGCAAATTTTTTTACACAGAGCGTGGTTTGTGTGTGGAATAAACTTCCTGAGGAAGTGGTGGATGTTAAAAGACATTTGGATAAGTACATGAATAGGAAAGGCTTGGAGAGATATGGGCCAGGAGCAGGCAGGTGGGACTAGTTTAGTTTGGGATTATGTTTAGCATGGACTGATTAGACCAAAGGATCTGTTTCCATACTGCATGGCTCTGACTCCAGATGAGACATTGACCCAAAGTTAAAATGCTCAGCCTTATTGTCGCACCATTCTATGTCCTCACCTCTTCTTATCTCTGCCACCTTCTCGCGTCCTACAACCCTCCAAGAGATCTGCACTCCTGGAATTCTGATCTCTTGAGCATTCCCAATGGTCATCAGACCACCCTTGGTGTCTGTACCTTCAGCTACCTTTACCCCAAACACTGAAATTCCCTCCCTAAAACTCTCTGCCCCTTTTTCCTCCTTTCAGCTGCTCCTTCACATCTGCCTCCTTGATCAAGTGTCTGGTCATTTCCCACAATATTTAATTATTTGGCTTAGTGTCAAAGTTTGCTTTGTAATGTTTCTGTTCCCAAGAATTTATGTGACATCATTGGAAACAAGGCAAACAACTGTAGAAGATAGTGTGGAATTGGCCGCATTGGAACGTGACTTCAAAATTCACAAGAATTACAAACGAAACACAAGATCATCAAATCATCGCATTGTCTCAGCAAGCATCTAGTTTTCTGTGAGCTTTCAGAAGATAAGGACACAGGTGATACAAGGACCAGCAGAACTGGCCAACAGGAACATTAACTGAGCGGAAAGAAATTGCAAGAAATGGTCACATGGACTTAGTGTACGCTCATTATCCATCAGGAAGCGGTCCACCACCAACTCGGAATGCCAAGGAAACAGAACAGAGCAGCAGCAAAACTAGAAGACATGCCACCCTATCTGATTACAGACAGAAGGACAGTCATCTTGCTAGTGATAAATCCTCCTTATTGAGTGATACAATCAATGGTCTTCAGTAGTGGAGTGTTCCAGAGGTCATGTTGTGATTTACGAACCTGGCTAATGACTTCATCAAATTACACAAGTTGCAGATTGTCCAACCAACTCCAAGGTAATTAGATTACTAATAGGCTCCAAATACACAAGGCTTTGTATAGAATGGGAGATAGCTTTTCAAAATGGTCACTTCATTTTAAAGTGCAACTCTTCTTCCTCAGGTCTAAAGCCATCCTTTAACTCAATGAGAAAACATGTGTCATCTCAGTTGCGGTCTTCATTTAATTTTGAAACAAACATTGACGACTTTAAACAAAAAGTGTAATTTCAGGAGCTACTTCAGAATCACAATTGTCTATATCTGTATTTCCAGATTACAAAGTCTATCCCATAATATTCAACCAGGTCTGTTGGCTTCAGTTAGCGTTCCATTATCCTTCTGTTATAATAAAGGGTTAAGAATCAACAATATTTTTTAAACACCAGTAACTTTTTTTTCCGAGCATGAGCCTTTGTAGTAATTTGAGGATTTATTTTTCACTTTGCTCCCCAGATTTCATTGTGAATTTTGAGTTACGTTCTGCTTATTAACTAACTCTGCTCAGCCCAGAGATTTTCTAGAGGCATCTCTCTGTTAGTTACCCACAAAGCACATTTCTCTTTATAGTAATATTTCTGCAAGCCTGCATCTCAATTACATATTTATTTTTCCCGTGGGTTTTCAGGGCAAGAGCTGACCTCTTTGGTCCTTTCTGGATACTGTTTAAGATGTTATCTTTAGTGTGTTGAACATGATACAGTTCCTTGTGACCTCTTCTTTAATTTATTAAACAGAAAGTGACGGAATGGGGCAGCTCCATAGTGCAGCTAGTTTGTGTAGTAATGTATCTCTCCATGAAGAGCAAGGATGTTCTTAATGTAGTTGTAATCGATCAAAATAGGCAGCTGGGTGCAGTATTGTTGAATATGGACCTGGATTCCCTAGCATTTGGGAAAACTGAAGGGTCCATCAAATTGTATTGTTCCAAGATATTTTTCTAATCTGCTCCCCAGTGGCTGAGTGAGCTGCATAGTTATCTTGCTCCCTGGCTGTTTCTTGGCTGTACCTTGCTGCACTGAAACTGAGTTATCTGTAGATTCTTTATTTTTAGTGGAGGAATAAATGAAATGCCACAATTTACGGTATCATCTACAGTTAATAGAAAACATGTGCAGGCAAATAAATGAAGAGGCAGTCATTTTGCTAAGCTACCGATGAGCTTCATCTGGCTTGCCTCTGACATTGCCTTCGCTAAACTACTCCCAGTCTAGGAGATGGTTGACCTGTGTGCTGCTTGTAATTGCTAGAACGCAGCTTTATAAATAGGAGCTGCTGGCTTAGCATGTTTGGTCAGGGAAGAGGATTGATCAAAAGAAGCATCTATTAAATAACATGTTGCACTGAGAAGCCAGAAGAGCCTTAAGAAAACGCACCAAGGAGCAACAAATAAAATGGAATGAACACACAAAGACAAGATTCTGAACTCAACCTAATTCTAACTCTGACCAAATGGATCAGACAACCAGTAAGTAATCACCTATTGATAAGTTGGATCCCAATGATGTTTCACGTCATGTAACCCTAGAATCAGAGGTGGCTACTAGCACATGACTGCCATCCAGGCAGTTCAAGTCAAGTGCAATTTGGCCATTCAATTCCCAGGGAATTGAAGTACCTGACACTTATAGATAAATGCAATTAAGTCAATTTGTTTCCACAAATGGAACACAATAAATCCAACGAAGTAACGGTCAAAAAGCAGTCAATGTATTGGCCAGCTTCTAATGGCTGACCTGTTCATTTCGGGTCAGGTTTAAATAACCAGCAGTTTAATGGTAATGTTGACAGGTTTCATTCCATTCAGAAGCGGGTCTTTCAGTAAATTAATTACGTACTGTAGTGTTGGGGCAATTTCTTTTAAAAAGACTTTAAAGCGGTTACACTATTGCGACAGCAAAATGGGCCACATGAAATCAACAACAGGCCACACAAAGCAGTAGGGATGGTGCCAGATTCCCAATCACTTCAAAGCGCCAACTCTCACAGTGACCACTATCCAGACTAAAAGCCACAAAAGATCAGCAACTCATGACAATGAAACTTGGGACACCCTGCTCCTAGCATCTCTGCTGTTCATTAATTAAGAGAAAATATTCTGATACTGTTTGTTTTTTTGCAAGCTTTAAGTTTCTTGTCTTTCTTCTTCAGACCACGTTAGCTTTCTGAGCCGTGAGAAGATGCTGGAAGTTCGCTCTACTCCGAATCCTGTTTTACAAGGTTGTTAACACAGATAATATATGGCTTCCCCTTCTAACTCCCCTAAAAAGTCCCTCACCAAGCCAATACCCCACCCCATTCTACTTTCCATCTTTCTACGCAAAAGTACTTTTGCATCAATCCCTCTAATGAGAATTTACCATGTGGCGCCATGTGAAATTATCTCTGAAGCTGCTTTAGTTGGAGGCAAAACCTTTGCATGACCTTCAGAGACTGTTTTTTTTTAATTTGTTCATGCAATCTGGCCATCACTGGTCTGGTCAGCAATTACAGTCCATCCCTACAAGACAGCACATACAGTCAGCCTCCTTGCTGGTGCTGGTGATTAAGGTTAGGAAGACAGATTTCTTTCCATAAAGACCATTAGTGAACCAGATAGGCTTTTATGACTGTTACACATACTCTGCCTCTATTATACACTACGATGAAATCCAACAATCCTCTTTGAGACAATTCAGAATATGATTTCCTTCAATAAGGACACTTTGCCCCATTTGGAAGGATTCTGACATTTTCTGACTTGCCATGTATTAGGATCTAATTCTTACAGAGTCACAGAATAACTACAGCACAGAATGAGACCATTCAGCCTATTATGTCTGAGCCTACTCATTGCAACTTCACCCTTGAGACAGGTCATTGCTGACCAGAGAGTTTCCTAATCTGGTGGGGGAACCGTCATATTCAACAACGTAGTGCAATTACACTTTAGCTCCAGTTATTACCATAATTGGCTGAACCTGAAACATGTGCTGCGGTTAGCGAACAACTTATAGAGAGAGTCACAGAGTTGTACAGCACGGAAATAGACCATTTGGTCCAACTCATCCATGCCAACCAGATATCCTAAATTAATCCAGTCCCATTTGCCAGCATTTGGTCCATTATCCTCTAAACCCTTCCTATTCATGTACCTATCCAGATGCCTTCCAAATGCTGTTGTTGTACCAGCCTCTGCCACTTCCTCTGGCAGCTCGTTCTGCCAATTTTTTTTTAATATAGTCATTCATGGGATATGGAAGTCACTGGCTAGGCCAGTATTTATTGCCCTATCCCTAATTTACCCAGAGTGTAGTTGAGTGTTGACCACATTGCTGTGGGTCTTGAGACACAAGTAGGCCAGACCAGGTAAGGATGGCAGATTTCCTTCCCTAAAGGACATCAGTGAACCAGATGGGTTTTTCCTGGCAATCAGTAATGGTTTCGCAGTCATCATTAGACTCTTAAGTTCAGATTTTTATTGAATTAATATTTCCCTATCTGCCGTGATAGGATTTGAATCTGGGTCCCCAGAACGTTGCCTGGGTCTCTGGATTAATAGTCTAATAATAATACCACTTGACCATCACCTCAAATTAAGTGAATTAATAAAATTTAACTGAACATTTGAGAAAGAATGCAAATTTGGGAATAGCGTGGACTGTTCTGATATTGTGGGGTGGGAAGTCAGGCGGGTCTAGCATCAAGAATGAGACAAAAATTCAAATGTCTACTTTAAGTAAAAAAAACTCCTATGCTTTTGAATTATTTTACCAAAATACTGTCAGATTCTGATGTAACCCTCCCTTCTCAGAGGAACATTAGGTTCACTTACTTGCAACTTGCACTTTTGCCTTGCGGCTGACCAGTAATCCTAAGTGATTCTGCGCCGTGCAGTCATACTCCCCCTCATCAGAGGAGCCGTCCTCCCTCAGCTTCTGAAACTTTGTGATGTAGAGTGATCCGTTGGCAAGCAGCGAGATGTGTTCACTATCAGACAGCAGCACTCCATTCTTCCTCCACGACTTGCTAATGGGCTGCATTCCTTCCACTTGGCAGTGCAGTTTCAGAGGATGTTCCTCTACTGCCACAACATCACTGGGTTCCAAGGTGAAAGTCAATTCTGAAGATTGGCCTAAATCTAAAAATGGAAACAACAAAACAAATAATAGCATCATCTCCGATATAATTTCTTGTATGCTTAGTTGCAATGGCAATACCGAATACTGAACATTCCTAAAGGTAAACATTGCATATTTTCAGAAATACTATACAGTAAAATCGACATAATAATGTGATGTAGCCATATATACAGGGGGGAAATCATGGAGCCTTTTGGCCCTAAACAAACTTTGAATCCATTTTCACATCAACTCGTTTCAACTCATCTCATCAACTCATTTCAAGTTGCTGAAACCAAATGCAGCAAGCCTTCTGTCTCTATGATAGACATCAGTTAAAACATTTTAAATAGTAAACGAGAGGCCATTATGATTTAGTCCCACATTGGCCCAGGAAATTACCTGTTGAATCACAGGGCATGTTGCACGGAATTTATCTCGTACTAGCAACTGTTCACAGATTACTTCTTTTTAACAATGACTTCACTACAAAGAGGGCATGTGTTAGCAACGAGACTATAAGCAGTTGTAAATGTATTAAAACACACATTCATACACAGAGCGGTATGGATATAAACTAGGAGCTGTGTGTAATGTAACATTACACATCAACAACTATGCATCCACTAATCACTATGATTTCTGCATCAGATGAATATGCATGATTAAAATTGTTTGCCTGCAGCCACACGTTTAACAACTGCACAAATAACTGTATGTATACGATTGGAGTTACACCATTACATGCACAAATAAGAACACATATGCAGGAGATTGTAGATAACATTATGTGCTCACATCTGCAGATGTACCCGTAATTTGCAACATGCAACTGCAATCTATACAGCACTTAAATCTGACACTCACCTATGCAAATCCTGCAGTATGTTCTCAGGTTGAATGCAATTTGGATCATGCATTCCTATCATCTTACACACACTCTCAGATATCCATACTACCTATCAGCTTCTGCACATATCATGCAAACTAACAGATGCCTGGACATTGACATTCTTGGAAAACTTCATGTGCATAATTAAAACTTGGTTATTCATTTTCAAAGGAAAAATTTGAGAGCAACAAATGTCAAAAACTGAATGTGTATCACCTTCCAAACTATAGTGGAGTAAAATAACAGAATTATGTTTCAATTTTCCTTGTGTTAAGTGCTCAGACAATCGATGAAGAAGAAACACTCTCTTCCTGGATGGCAATGCCCAACATTGTCCAATGACAGCAGTTTTTATAAACATATAGTTAACTAAGGGCTGGCCTTAAGCAGCAGTTTTCATTCTTGCTGCTTGCACAAGAAGAACTTCCTCTTCCAATTAACTCGGCAAAATCTAATCTGTTCAACATTCCTTAGAAAGAAAACAGTCTCCACATTCGACTGGTTGAAATTGGAATCTCAGGGGCTGCTTTCAATATGTACAACATGCCTGATGTTTAAATCCCTTTGACGTAAGGGCAGGCATTCCACTGCAATGCTGAAATGCAACAACTTGCTTTATTTAAAAGTGAGGTTTTTGCAATAAAGTTTGGTGGATCTGACAATATTGATCTTTGCGGTCCTACTTTGAGACAGCATGTAAAGACAATTATGACAGTTTTCTGCTGGTAAATGTGCTGCTTAATCTACATAATTCCCATCAGCTTTAAATTTTAGATAAAATTGCTCAAATACAATAGACAATAAAGAACTAGTTGATAACTAATTGTGGCTTACTACAGCAATGCAAGCAAAGGGTGGACGATACGGAAGAGTTTCTCTGATGCAATTTGCATTTTTCAATAAGCATTGAGAATATTGACATTGGCTTCATCTACCACAGTCAGTAAGGTGATAACTGATAACTAAATTTTTTAACTTTATAGGTGAGGGAAACAGCACTAAATTCTGTGTGACTGTGATTGCTTCTCTTGGGATATGCTTCCTTAAACTTCCTTCAGGGTAGAATTTTTGCTCAGCAACCTAAGAGACGTCAATACTGTGAGATAAAATGCATTCCTATTTGGTTGCATCCAGATCCAGTGTCCTCTTTTGTCTTCCAAACCAGTTCAGCATTCCCACTTCATATACAGTTCTGCAGCTCACATTATGTTCCCTCTCAGCTGTTATTAGTGCTGTCTCAGTTTTTAAAACTTCTGTATCATGTGTTCTGAGTTTGTATCATATGGCTTCTGCTTTCAAGTAATACATTTGTGCAGAAGATGGTTTGGTTCACGCTAACCGAAGCAAAATCCTGATTTTCTGTATATTATTTTTTGAATCTTTTCAGTCCAGCCTCTCCCAGAGTTTGCATTCAACTAGACACCAATGCTGAAAAATGATCTATGATAATGCACTAATGTCTCAGTTATTCGTCCTCATTTTACTTTAAACACAGCATTTGAGAACAGGAACCACATTGTTTTATTCTGGTGAATGACAATAAAATTGGTTCAAATATGACTAATAGTGTTTGGGCTTTGAAATGTACAACATTATTTAAGCGAATTGGGCCTGGCCCTGCATATCTGGTTAAATCAAAATGTTAGTTCACTAGTGACAATTATTCACCATTGTGTTAAATGAGTATCATAATATGCAAATTTGTGTTAACACTGCTCAAGGACCTATTACACCTGAACGTAATACTTTGCCTGATAGTAATTGAACAGTAAAGTTAGTGCATATACAAACTCTCCGAACACATCTTTCAGCAGCAATAGGAGGATCACTTTCCCAAGTCCCATTCAAACATACCGTGTTAGGAAAAGCTGCTCCAGAGTCTCTTTATGATCAAGACTTATTCTTTCGTATTATTTTGGAGGCTTTGGAGTGCATTTGAACACTTATATATACTTACACATCTATTCATTCTGATAAAGCACCATTTAGAGACAACCCATACAATCACTGTGTCACATGTTAATGGTACTCAGCCATATCAGACACACATGTACAAAATTCCAAACAGGACTTCAAGCACCCAATCCCCTCCCCAAAATCCATTCACAAGCAGTCCAAAACACCGGGTGGATGTGACTACTATTAACATAGCAACCTCCACAATTCACATACAGAAATGCCTGTGACAGGCATTTGCACAACAGATATAAGCCCTGCCTGACCAACTTGTTCCTTTCTAAAATTCTGGGCCACTTTTCTTTCCACAAGGTATCAAGATGCCAGGTTCCCAAGAATCCTTTATTCTCAGCACTGCAGGAAAATACACCAGAATGCAATAACCAGCTTTAGATTGTATATTCTCAAACTTTCTCTCTTGTAAACAATAGGTTTTGTTTCTGGCTCCAGATTTAGATAAGGCTCTAAAATTATAATAAAAACCGAAAGAACTGTGGATGCTGTAAATCAGGAACAAAAACAGGAAGCTCAGCAGGTCTGGCAGCATCTGTGAAGAAAAAGTCCGAGTTAATGTTTCGGGTCCAGTGACCCTTCCTCAGAATTATAATACTGCCCTTTCCCAGAATAATCTCCATGAAGTACAGCTCAATTTAACACAACAGCTCCTAAAACGTAGGAGGCCTTCCTTCCCCCTTATTGTGCCCAAAGGCTAAAGATGGCAACCAGTATGAAAGTTACAATCTTCAGAAAACATCTTGAACAAGACGTACCTAGGAATGTGGTTGAAACACAAGGAAAGGGAAGAGTGGTTGATCAATTAAGAGGTTCTTTTAATGTCACAGATCACTTTGGGATGATCTCTAAACTACTCTTTGGTCTAAATTACATTCACAAGCAGAGTTTTTGTACTAAGTGTTGAATAGGACTCATTATTAGCTTTAACAGATAGTATATCAAAGTTATGAACATGCGTAAATCAGATTTTCAGCACAGATTTCAAATAATAATGCACTCCTGTAGGATGCTGTCCCTTACTGATATGCACATCCATTAAATTAAGAAAAATCATCGGAAGCTGGAAGTCTGAATCAAAAGCAGAAAATGCTGCAAACACTCAACATGTCAGGTAACATCTGTGGAAAGAACAGAATGCTTAACATTTTGAGTGTGGATTCTTAAATCAGAATAATTGCTGGGTGTTAACAGGATTTTCTGCTTTTGTTTTTGCTGGTTATATCCTTTGTTTGCCTGTTTTACGTAATACCAGATTAACAACATGGTGCTGTCCTATTGTTGCTGTCAGCACAGTGTGCTCCCAATGCCCTGTGATATGCAGTAGTCCTTTGTGAACGGCAATCACAAACTCGGTTCATTAGCAATGCATGCTGACTGCAGACTTACATTACACAAGAACGGCCGTGGACCACATAAAGTGATTGCTCCCAGCACGTCGCCATTGCCCATTGAATTTTATTTATGTGATTAACTAAAGAAAGACTTGCATTTACATAGCAGCTTCCTTGACCTCGGGATACCCGAAAGTGCTTTACAGTCAATGGCATTCTTTTGAAGTGTAGTAACTTGCATAATTGTACAGCAAGCGTTAGAGCAGGCGCAGATGTGAGAGCAGAAAGTGCTTGAGAAAAACATCAGTCCATACAGCTCATGTGTGCTGTCTGCGTTCGGATGGCTACCGTTCTAAATTCTAGTCCCGGCAAAATTAAACTGCACGATTGAATGGCGAGGGGGAGTTGAGTAACTTAAAGTTGGACCATGTTAAGTGCAGGATCTTGGTGGATGAGGCAGTCCCTATGTGTTCCTGTGGGGTTTGGAGTTCGAGGTGTTGAACTGAGAAGGAGAAAGTGAGCCAGTGACTGTCGAGGCACCATGTGCTTTAACAAAGGGGGATACCGGCCATGCGCTTTACCGACCTCTGCTCCTTCCCCTCCCTGGGTTTCAGTCCTCTCTCGGGGGCTGAGCTGATGCCCCTCTGCCCCAACCCCCGGTGAGTTTACAAAGTTCCGAGAATTTTAAAATGACACAAAAACCCACTCGAATCACTTCAGACTGAAGCTGGGCTTTCCGTGAGAGCATCCAGTTCGGATACTGCGGAAATCCTCAGTGATGGCCCGAAGCTCCCTCCCACCCCTGTTCTCTCCATGGGTTTGTGTAAAACTCAACATCTCCTCCCGTATTCGTTCCCCCCCCCCCCCCCCCCCCC